GCTTAAAAAAAAAAAAAAGTAACACTCTTTCTCTCCTTTCCAGCTGAGGGCATTTTCAGAAGCGGGCGTTGGCTCACGAATGCTAGAATGAGAAAGTTAATGGACGGAAGGTTTATATCCTTCCCCTTCCACCCTTCCTCGTGGGCCTAAGATTTCTGGAGCATCTCAAATTTCCACCAGGGACAAACTCCCTCCACCTTTTTTGTTTCAATAGCCTGCAACCTTGGGCTGCCTGGAGCTGGCCGGCCCTTTGCGCTGGAAGGAATCTGGGGGCTGCGGACCCAGGAGAGGCCGCGTCTTGCCTGCGAGCCAGCGGCGGGCGGCGGGCCGGGCTCTGGCGTCTGGTGCCTGCAGTCAGCGCCTCGGGTCACATCTGCGAGACAGCCGCGCTCCCGCGGGGGTCGGGCGGCCAGGGAGCCCCTCGTCCGCTGTTCCGCGAAATCGAGGTCCTCAGGGGGAGACCCACATTCGCAGGACTGCGCGGCCAGGCACCTCCGACAAACCGCTTGTTGCCAACGTCCCCGGGCGCTCTCCAACGGCGCTGCGACCCGGCAGCCCTTCCGCTCCTCGGCAGCGCCCCGGCGCTCACGGCGTCCCGCAGAGCAGCAGGTGCCTGCGGAGATCCCGCCCGTCACCCCTGAGCCCGGAGGGGGTCCCAGGAGGGCGTTCGCTGTGCCCTGCAGAGCAGAGGAGAAGCGGTGGGGGTCGGGTTGGGAGCTCAGCTCAGTCTCCGGCGTGAGCAGCGAAGGCTCCCAACGCTGGGTCTTCGCGCGCCGGGCCAGCCCTGCCTCCCCGCCGGCCCGCGTGCCCTGACCCCGGGACCTGCCGGGCTCCGAGGCCACCTCTGCAGCTCCAGAACCCCGCATGCGCACGCTCGCAAAGCCACGGGGTGCATGGGCAGGTGCTCTGCGCCAGGGACGTGGCTTCCTGGCTTGGACCTCGCTCACAGGAGGCAGGACGTGTTTCTCAGGGGGCGTGACGCTAGAGTCCTGCAGTAGAATAGAAGGAGTGCAGCCAGGCGCGGTGGCTCAGGACTGTAATCCTAGCACTCTGGGAGGCCGGGGCGGGAGGATCGTTTGAGCTCAGAAGTTTGAAATCAGCCTGAGCAAAACAAAAGTGAGACCCCGTCTTTACTAAAAAATAGAAAGACATTAATTGGCCAACTAAAAATATATAGAAAAAATTAGCCGGGCATAGTGGTGCATGCCTGTAGTCCCAGCTACTCGGGAGGCTGAGGCAGCAGGATTGCTTGAGCCCAGGAGACTGAGGTTGCTGTGAGCTAGGCTGACGCCACAGCACTCTAGCCTGGGCAACAGAGTGAGACTCAAAGAAGAAAGTGGGACTTCTCAAAGAAAAAGATTATAAGGCGTGCTCACCTATTCCGGGAAAAAAAAGATAGTGACTGAACAGGCAGAGCCACTCTCAGAGTCAGACACTCCTCCCGCCCTCTGGGGTCAACAGGGCCAGAGTGCCTCCTCCCCTGCTCCGGTGCCTGCAGTCAGCTCCAGCCCAGCCCTTTGCGCAACAGCCTCTCAAAGCCCCGCCCTGGTGCCGCGGCGGTCCGGGGTGCGGGCAGAGAGAGGATGCCCCGGGACCCGTGTGGCCCCTGTGCAGTGCTTCTCACGAGCAGACAGTTCCTACTTTAAGTCAGAACCTGACTTTATTTTTAAAGAAAAGGAACTTGGAAATAGTCTAAGGTGGGAAAAAAATATTAGGTAAAAAGGGACAAAAAAGTCCACTTTGAAAGGACGCATTGGAACAGAGCCAGGCGCCGCTGGAGACAGAGGACGGAGGGGACAGAAGCCACTATGCCCGGCAGGGAGCGCGGACGCGGGGCCGCCACCCGGCACCTCTGCGAGGCCACTCAGCTTTGCGCCCGTCTGACGTCAGACACGTGACGTGAAATCCTGGCGAGTAAAGGCAGTGGACGTAGAAACCAAAAACTGAAGCACAAACTAGAAAAGTCTGGAGGGACATGTTCACGCCGCCCTGGGTGGCGAGGGTCGTGGGCCCTGGCGGCAGCAGCAGCTACAGTCAGGCTCTTCCCAGCGGAAGAACAAAGCCGTAGAAACAAACCCGAACCCAAAGGCAAACATCAGTTGCGTTTCTATGTGCTGGCAGGGAGCAGTCGGACAAGGAAATTAGGGAGACATCACCATTTATAATAGCCTCAAAAAGAATAAAATATCAAGGAAGAAGTTTAACCTAAGAGGCATAAGACTTATGCACTGAAAACTGAAAAACATACTGAGACCAGGGAAAGATCCACATAATTGGAAAGATACCCATGCTCATGGATCGGAAGACTTGGCATTGTTAAAGTGGCAATATTCCCCAAACTGGTCTATAGCTTCAACACAATGCCTATCAAATCCCAACTGCCCCTTTTTGCAGAAATGGACAAGCTGATCATAAAATTCATGAAGAATTGGCACAGACCAAGATAAGCCAAAAAAAAAAAATCTTGAAAAAGAACAAAGTTGGAGTACTCACACTACTTACTAAAACTTACTACAAAGCTACAGTAACTGAAATGGTGTGGTATTGGCGTAAGGAAAGACATGTCAGTCGATGGAATAGAATTGAAAGTCCAGAAATGAGCCCACACATCTGTGGCCAGCTGGCTTTTGGCAAGAGTGCCAAGACCGTTCAGTGAGGGAAAGAAACAGAGCCAGGACAACTGGGTTCCACGTCCAAGACAATGAGTATCCAACATATCCATGATACAATAGACAGAATCATTCATCAGGAACCAAGAAACCAAAACATAAATGAATGAAGACAACAGACACCAATACCAGGATGAATCAGATGTTGGGATTATATGGCTAATATTTTAAGGTAGCTTTCACCAATCAATTATGGGTTTAAGATACTTCATCATTTATGGTTTTTTTTCTGAAATAAATGAAAGAATAGAAAATCTAAGCAAAGAAATATTAAAAAACATGAAATTATAGAAATGAAAAATACAAAAACTGAATTAAAAACTTGCTATGTGGGGCGACTTCCGGGGCCCCCACTCTTGGGGCCCCAGAACCTCGTCCACAAAAAATAAAAAAAAATAAAAAAAAATAAAAAAATAAAAAAAAAAAAACTTGCTATGTTGGTGGAAAGCAGAGAGGAGATGACAGAGGATATAATCAGAGAATTTGAAAGATAAATAGAAATCACCCAATATCAATAAAAGAGAGAAAAAGGACTAAAAAATATGAGTTGAGTCACAGGACCTGTGTGACGATAATGAAAGTACCAACATTCATATTATGAGATCCCAGAAAGAGAAGAAAAAGAGAGTAGGGCTGAAAAAATATGTGAAGAGAGAATGCCTGAAAAGCTCCCAAATTTGGCAAAAGACATAAACCTACAGATTCAAGAAGCAGAGAAGAAAAACAACAGGAAAATCTCTAAATGCTTGGAAATCAAATAACATACTTTTAAATTATCAGTGGATCACAGAGGAAGCCACAAAGGAAATTTTCAAATACATAGAACTAAATGGAAATGAAACTACAACAGATCAAAATATCCAGGATGCAGCCAAAACAGTTCTGAGAGGGAAATTTATAGTACCAAATGCTTACAGACTTAGAAAAGAGGAAAGTTCTCAATAATATAAGTTATGAAATTGAATTAATTCTTTAAAAACTCCTAAAAAAAGACATGTCCAGGCCCAGGTGGTTTTACTGGAAATTCTACCAACATTCAAAGAATTTATTCTATGGTTTTACTGGAAATTCTGCCAAACATTCAAAGAATTTATTCTATGAAACATTCAAAGAAGAGGAGTGAACACTTCCTAACTTACTTTATGAGGTCAGCATTACCTGGTGACCACACTAGAGACAGACAGTACAAAAAAGAAAATGATAGATCAATATTTCTCATGAATTTAGATACAAAATCCTCAACAAAACGTCACCAAATTGGATCCAGCATTGGATAGAGTTTCTGAGCCAAGTGAGATTTAATCCAGGTGTGCAAGGCTGGTTCAATTTCAAAATCAATCCATATAATCACCACATCAACAGAAGAGATAGATAATCGTATCAATTGATGCAGAAAAGCTTTTGACAAAAATCCAACACCTAGTAGTAATGAAAACTCCCAGAAAACTAGAAGTAGACCCTCAAGTTGATAAAGAACATCTACAAGAAAATGTACAGGTAATATCGTACCTCCCCTCATACCTAAGGGTGCAAGACTGATGCCTCCCTCCAAGATGAGGAATACTGCAAGGATGTCCACTGTCACCAGTTACTCACTGTAGCACTGCAAGCTAAATAGGGCAATAGAGGGAAATACATGGCATATAAGTCAGCTATTTACAGATGTCATGATTATCTATTCAGAAATTTCTTCCAAGAAACATACCAAAAAACAATCCTAGAAGCAATAAATGAGTTCAGCAAAGTTGCAGGGTAAAAGATTAAAACAAAAATAAAATTGCTTATAGCCAAGTTTGGTGGCTCATGCCTATAATCTCAAGTACTTGGGAGGCTGAGACAGGAGGATCACTTGAGCCCAGGAGTTAGAATCCAGACAGGGCAACCTAGCAAGTTGTTTAAAAGAATTGCTTGCATTTCTATATACCAATAATTAACATGTGAAACCAAGACTAACCAAGGCTAAAAACACAGGCTATTTACAATTACTCCAAAAAATTAAATACTTAAGTATAAACAACACAAAACATCCCCAGAGTTCATATACTGCAAATTACAAAATGCTGATAAAAGATAACAAAGCAGACCTAAGTAAACTGAAAGACATACCATGTTCATGGATTAGGAGGCTCTACAAGGTACGGGTAGGTATCTGTTCTCCTCAAACTGATCTATAGGTTTAACACAACTTTTATCAAAATTCCAACATGGCTTTTTGTAGACAGGCTTATTCTAAAATTTATGTGGGAAAGCACAGGGCTGTCAAACAGCTGAGACAATCTCAGAAAGGGAAGATGCAGCGGGAGGAATTGCTCACTCTCATCCCGGATCCCCATGGGGCCGGCTGTGGACACCTGCCAGGTGACAGGAGAGGGGCTGTGCTTGGTGGAGAGATACGCAGCCGCCATGCTTACGGGAGGAGCAGAGGAAGCCGCCAAAGGAGCCTGGTGCAGACAGTGAACAGCCAGGAGGGGGCGGCGGGGTCAGCTCAGGACGTGCCCTGGACAGCGGAGACCCAGGAGCTGATTGGCCACGCCTGGGCCACCCCCCTGCAGTCTGGTCTCCCATGTTTTTTGTGGGGGTTTTTTTGGTTTTCTTTTTTTTTTTTTTTTTTTGAGACAGAGTCTCACTTTGTTGCCCAGGCTAGAATGCCTTGGTGTCGGCCTAGCTCACGGCAACCTCCAATTCCTGGGCTCAAGCGATCCTCCTGCCTTAGCCTCCCTAGTAGCTGGGACTACAGGCATGTGCCACCATGCCCGGCTAATTTTTTCTAGAAATTTTTAGTTGGCCAATTAATTTCTTTCTATTTTTAGTAGAGACGGGGTCTCACTCTTGCTCAGGCTGGCTTCGAACTCCTGACCTTGAGCAATCCTCCCACCTCGGCCTCCCAGAGTGCTAGGATTACAGGCGTAAGCCACCACACCCAGCCTCCTCCCTGGCCTTTCTGTTGGCTGGTTGTTTGTCCCCACTAACCTCCTCTGCCTCAGCCAGCCATCACTAGAACTTTCCTACACGTGTCTTTGACAAACATTACCCAGGTGGCAGCCACAGCGCTGGGGACATTCCAGGGTGAGCACTGGGAGTCCGTCTTCCCCGGAGCAGGCAGAACGGGGACAGGAGCCGCACCTGCCGGCGAAGCAGGTCTCTCTGTGGCTGCGCTACCAGCGCTGGGCAGGGCGTGGCCACTGCTGTCGGGGCACGGGCCGAGCCAGGAGCTGGTGTGTTAAAATGCTGCGAAGCTCATTACTGTTCCTGAGACTCAGCTGCTGTTTCTCAAGTGTTCCGTGGTTAGTTTCCAGAGTTCAAAACAGTCGGCTCTGACAGTGTTTACCCTGTTTCTTTGCTTTAAGGGAGGGATGGACGTTGGGGCTCCTTGCTCTGTAATGTCCCCGTCACTCAGAACCTGCAGGGGGCCAGGAACACCCTCGTCTGGAAGGTCTCGATGACTTGGACGCTGGTCCAACATGCACACCGCGAGATCACTGGGCTGGGACTGCCTCTCTCCCCCAGACACCCGAGACCCTCCCTGACAGGCGGGCCCGTCTCCTAGGCTGGCACGGTGGCTCACGCCTGTAATCCTAGCACTCTGGGAGGCCAAGGCAGGTGGATCACTCAAGGTCAGGAATTCGAAACCAGCCTGAGCAAAAGCAAGACCCCGTCTCTACTAAAAATAGAAAGAAATTAATTGGCCAACTAAAAATATATATAGAAAAAAAATTAGCTGGGCATGGTGGCGCATGCCTGCAGTCCCAGCAACTCGGGAGGCTGAGGCAGGAGGATCGCTTGAGCCCAGGAATTTGAGGTTGCTGTGAGCTGGGCTGACGCCACAGCACTCTAGCCCGGGCAACAGAGTGAGACTCTGTCTCAAAAGAAAAAAAAAAAATTCCTTCAAAGCCTATGCCGTGCTGATGTCTTCCGTTTACTCTTACATGTTTCTTGCCGTTGGTTCCTTCAAGTCCCATCCACACTGCGTGCGGCTGAGGTTTCTGAATTTTCTCCGCTGTAATGCCAGGTGCCAGGGCCACACCCCTCGAGCTCTGTTTGCCAAAGAGCAGGTGGCTTTATTTCTAAACATGCCAACAACCGGCTCCGGCGGGACCACTGAGGCAGATTCTGAAGGGGGCCTGGGCATCTATAAAACCTTTCTTCCACCATGCATTCCTCGGCCCACACTTCGAGGACGTTTTGCTGTTCTCTCGGCCTGCGCCCCCGACCCGGGTGCCATCTTGCCCGTTAGGAGCTTGCAGAGGTGAGAGAGCAAAGCTCCACCTGGACTCACAGCCCTCCCCAGGGCTGGCGTCGCCGCCTGGGCTCCGCCTCCTGTCAGGTCAGCGGCGGCTTCGGGTTCTCACGGGAGCCCGGACCCTACTGTAAACCGCACGTGGAGGGATCCAGGTTGTGCTTCTTAGGAGACTCCAACGCCTGGTGGTCCGAGGTGGAGCTGAGCGGTGATGCTAGCGCTGGGGAGCCGCTGCAAACACAGATTACCATTAGCAGAGAGGACTGACTGCACGATGAACGTGTTGGAATCGTCCCGAAACCATACCCCGCAGTCCATGGGGAGACTGTCTTCCGCGGAACCGGCCCTGGCGCAAACAGGTGGTGCACCGCTGCTCTAGGCCGTGCCCAGTCGCCACTCGCCCGAGCTGGCGAGCTGGAGGGGCCCTGTCTGGCTTATTCATGGCAGGAGAGGAGGCGGGCGCGGGCGCGGCCCTCCCGGGTGGGGCTGCTCCGTGCTGTCCCGCCCCACCCTCGCGGCCTGACACCCCTTTCCGTTTGCAGGCCCAGCCGGCCGTCCCCGCGCGGCGCCACGACCTCCGCGGGCCATGGCCTTGCAGCGCGGGCCGGCGGAGCCCCCGGGCGCGGAGCCCCCCTCCCGCCCCACCCTCGCGGCCTGACACCCCCTTTCCGTTTGCAGGCCCAGCCGGCCGTCCCCGCGCGGCGCCACGACCTCGGCGGGCCATGCCTTGCAGCGCGGGGCGGCGAGCCCGGGCCGGAGCCCCCGGGCAGGCGGAGCCGCCGAGGGCAGGCGCGCGCCCCGGCACGTCATCATCAACGTGGGCGGCTGCCGCGTCGCCTGCCTGGGCGGCGCTGGCGCGCTGTCCGCTCGCGCGCCTGGAGCGCCTGCGGGCCTGCCGCGGCCACGACGAGCTGCTGCGGGTGGGGACGACTACGACGTGAGCCGCGACGAGTTCTTCTTCGACCGCAGCCCGTGCGCCTTCCGCGCCATCGTGGCGTGCTGCGCGCCGGGAAGCTGCGGCTGCTGCGGGCCGTGCGCCCTGGCCTTCCGCGACGAGCTGGCTACTGGGGCATCGACGAGGCGCGCCTGGAGCGCTGCTGCCTGCGCCGCCTGCGCCGCCGCGAGGAGGAGGCGGCCGAGGCGCGCGCGCCGGCGCCAAGGGCGCGGGGAGCCCGGCCGCGCCTGGGGAGCCCGGGCGCGCGCCTGGGCCCGGGCGGGCGGCTGGAGCGCGGCCGGCGGCGTGCGCGACGTGGTGGACAACCCGCACTCGGGACTGGCGGGCAAGCTCTTCGCTGCGTGTCCGTGGCCTTCGTGGCGTCACGGCGTCGGCCTCTGCCTGAGCACCATGCCGGACATCCGCGCTGAGGAGGAGCGGGGTGAGAGCGGGCCGGGGCTCCTAGGGCAAGGGCGGCAGGGGGTGGACAGGGGTGGGGTTGTGTAGATGGTTAGGGTCAGGCCAAGGCCGGGATTGGATGGACAGGGGTGGACAGGGTGGGGTTGTGTAATGGTTAGGGTCAGGGGCAAGAGCCGGGGATTGGATGGACAGGTGGACAGGGGTGGTTGGGTGTAGATGGTTAGGTCAGGGGCCAAAGCCGGGACTTGGACAGGGACTAGGGCAGACGAGGGGTAGTGGGAAGTCAGGGTCAGGGGTGGTAGGGTCAGGGACCAAGGCCTGGGGATTGGACAGGGCACTAGGGGGGCAGACCGGGTGGTGGGAAGTCAGTTAGGGGTCAGGGGTGGTAGGGTCAGGGGCCAAGGCCTAGGGCTGGACAGGGGACTGAGGGGGCAGACGAGGGTGGTGGAAGGCAGTTAGGGTCAGGGGTGGCAGGACACAGGCAAGGCCTCTAGGACTGGCAAGACGGGGATGGCAGGGAAGGGGGTGTGCAGGTAGGGTCAGGACCATGGGCGGGTGGCTGGGCTGAGGACTCCCTATCTAGTGGTGGTCTCTACTAAAAATAGAAAGAAATTAATTGGCCAACTAATATATATAGAAAAAATTAGCCGGGCATGGTGGTGCATGCCTGTAGTCCCAGCTACTCGGGAGGCTGAGGCAGGAGGATCGCTTGAGCGCAGGAGTTTGAAGTTGCTGTGAGCTAGGCTGACGCGCACAGCACTCACTCTGGCCTGGGCAACAAAGGTGAGACTCTGTCTCAAAATAAAAAAAGTTCTTAGATATAACATCAAAAGCATGATCCGTAAAAGAACAAAATTGATAAATCACACTTCATCAAAATTTAAAACTTTGGCCGGGCGCGGTGGCTCACGCCTGTAATCCTAGCACTCTGGAGGCCGGGCGGGCGGATTGCTGGAGGTTGGGAGTTCGAAACCATCCTGAACGAGACCCCGTCTCTACTAAAAATAGAAAGAAATTAATTGACCAACTTAAATATATATACAAAAAACTAGCCGGGCATGGTGGCACATGCCTTAGTTCCCAGCTACTGTTGAGGCTGAGGCAGAGGATCGTTTGAGCCCAGGAGTTTGAGTTGCTGGTGAGCTA